ATTTACACGTCGGCCGGGGTCGAGCCTGTACACACTGACCACTGCGTCTCCTCCAGTCACTGCGTCTGGTCAGGTAGCTGTGTCGGGTCAGGTGTTTGCTGCAGCGTCTAGGTCTGGTCCTGAGTTTGCCCCCTGTTCGTGTCGCCTCCTGTCGCACGAGACTCTCCTCTGGCACCACCGCCTTGGTCAACCCTCCCTGCTTCGTCTCCGAGGCATGGCCTCCCGTGTCCTTGTCTCTGGTCTTCCCCGGTCCCTCCCTCCCCTTCCTCCGGGGCCCGGCCCTACCTGCGTCCCTTGTGTCGAGGGGCGGCAGCGGGCTGCCCCTCACTCCTCCCAGTTTCCTCCGACAGAGGCCCCGCTGCAGACGCTTCACATGGACGTGTGGGGCCCGGCCCGCGTCCGTGGACAGGGTCACGGGCGCTACTTCCTGCTGGTGGTTGACGACTACTCGCGTTACACCACAGTCTTCCCCTTGCGCAGCAAGGGTGATGTCACTGAGGTGTTGATCGACTGGATCTGCGCAGCTCGTCTCCAGCTCAGGCAGAGCTTCGGCTCGGACTTTCCTGTTCTGCGTCTGCACTCTGACAGAGGTGGAGTGTTCTCCTCTGGCCTTCTGCGAGCCTACTGTCGTGCACGAGGCATCCGCCAGACCTTCACGCTTCCGGACTCTCCACAGCAAAATGGGATTGCTGAGCGCCGCATTGGCATGGTCATGGACGTCGCCCGTACGTCCATGATGCATGCGGCTGCCCCCCATTTTCTGTGGCCGTTTGCGGTTCGGTACGCGGCGCATCAGATCAACCTTCACCCCAGGGTCTCCATGCCGGAGACCTCCCCAGCTTTGCTGTGGACGGGGAAGGTTGGCGATGCGTCTGCGTTCCGTGTCTGGGGATCTCGGGCGTTTGTCCGCGACTTGTCTGCGGACAAGCTGTCCCCTCGTGCTGCTCCTTGCGTCTTCCTTGGCTTCCCCCCTGACGCGCCAGGGTGGCAGTTCTACCACCCCACCTCTCGCCGTGTTCTGTCCTCCCAGGACGTCACGTTTGACGAGTCGGTCCCCTACTACCGCCTCTTCCCCTACCGCACTCCGTCCCTCCCCCCGCCACCGCTCTTCCTTGTGCCAGGTCCCCCCCCGGTAGACCCCCTCCCCCCTCAGGGTCCTGCCCCTTCAGGTGTGTCCCAGGTCGACGTCGTCGAGCCTGTCGAGGTTACTGGTGACTCTGGTGCTGCTGAGGGTGCTGAGCCTGGGGGTGCTGACTCTGGGGGTGCTGAGCGTGTGGGTGCTACGCCTGGGGGTGCTGAGCCTGAGGGTGCTACTCCTGGGGGTGCTGAGCCTGGGGGTGCTACTACTGGGGGTGCTGAACCTGGGGGTGCTGAGCCTGGGGGTGCTGAGCCTGGGGGTGCTACGCCTGGAGGTGCTGAGCCTGGGGGTGCGGAGCCTGAGGGAGCTGGGCCTGCTCGTGTGGCGTCTGGCGGTGCTGAGCCTGGATGTTCTCCGGGTGCTTCGTCTCGGCGGGAGCCACTCTCTCCACAGGAGCTGCGAGAGTTGTTTGCCCGGCGCTGGAGGCGTGCTGCTGGAGCTGGAGGTTCTTCGGCTGCTGAGGGTGCTGGTGCCGCGGGTCCCGGAGGTGCTCGTACTGGGAGTACTGGAGCTGCTGGGCCTGCGGGTACGACTGGAGCTGGAGCTGCTGAGGGTGTTGGCGCTGAGGCTACTGCTGTCGGTCCTGGAGGCGGTCCTGCTGGGGGTGCTACTGGTGCTGCTGGAGGTACTGGAGCTGGAGGTGCTGCTGGCGCTGGTGCTGCCGCTGGGGGTACTGGTGCTGTCCCTGCTGTGTCTGGAGTCGCCGCGCGGCCTCGGCCGTACTTCGTTCCGCTCCTTCAGCAGGTTCTTGGTCTCCCGCCTTCTACTGGTCCTCCTCCTCCCTTAGAGTGTCCACAGCCTGTCCCGTCACAGTTACAGTTACAGCCGGCCTCCCCACTGCCCGCTCCTTCTCCCTACACTGGTCCTACTGGAGGTCTGGCTGAGCGTCGTGAGCCTGCGTCTCGCCCTGCGTCGCCTGTCCGTCTTGCTCGCACTAGTGGTCGTGGTTCGCGTCAGCGTCCCCCTCCTGTCCCTGGCACGCACCGGATGTCTCTGCGTCCGTCCACTGCTCCTCTGCGTGCCCCTTTGCCTTCTCCTCCTGAGTCCTCTCTTCCTGCTCTTCCCGACCCGGAGTCGGACTCTCTTCGTGCTGCCAGACCTACTGTCACGCGTCTCCTTGCTACTGTCGTCACTGACCCTTCCTTTGAGTCCACTGCTGCGTCTGCCCTAGTTGCTGAGCTCGTCGACTTTGCTGCTCGCTGTCGTCTAGACTACGCTGCTAGTCTTGTCGTTGAGTCTGAGTCTGTCTGTCCTCCGTCCGTCGGGGGTGAGTGTGCCCTTGGCACGGACGTCCTTGAGGACAGGCAGGAGGAGTTCCAGTGTTTGGCTGCTACTTCACCTCATCTCGTGTCCGTACTGCTTACCCCTGAGGGAGACCCGGATGCACTTGACATCCCGACTCCGCGCTCTTACGCGGAGGCGATAGAGGGTCCCTACTCCTCTCAGTGGCAGGCAGCTATGGACACAGAGATGGCTTCCTGGAAGTCCACAGGCACCTACGTTGACGAGGTTCCCCCGCCTGGGGCGAACATCGTCAGTGGCATGTGGATTTTCAGGGTGAAGCGACCGCCGGGTTCTCCGCCTGTCTTCAAGGCGCGTTACGTGGCTCGTGGCTTCAGTCAGCGGCAGGGAGTTGACTACTTTCAGACCTTCTCTCCCACCCCGAAGATGACCACTCTTCGGGTACTGCTGCACATAGCTGCTCACCACGACTACGAGCTGCACTCTCTTGACTTCAGCACTGCTTTCTTGCAGGGCAGCCTGCACGAGGAGATCTGGCTGCGTCGCCCACCTGGCTTCACTGGGTCTTTTCCTCCTGGCACCCAGTGGAGCCTCCGGCGGCCAGTCTACGGTCTCCGCCAGGCACCGCGTGAGTGGCACGACACACTGAGGACTACACTTGCGGCTCTTGGGTTTGCTCCCTCTACTGCCGACCCGTCGCTGTTTCTGCGCACCGACACTTCTTTGCCGCCGCTCTACATCCTCGTGTACGTCGACGACTTGGTCTTTGCCACAGCTGACACTGCTGGACTCGCCCACGTGAAGTCCGAGCTGCAGAAGAGACACACGTGCACAGACCTGGGTGAACTGCGCAGCTACCTTGGCTTGCAGATCACCCGGGACAGAGCACGCCGCACCATTACCCTGACTCAGTCACACATGGTGCAGCAGGTCCTTCAGCGCTTCGGCTTCACGTACTCCTCGCCTCAGGCCACTCCTCTGCCTACTCGCCACTCGCTCTCAGCTCTGCCTTCGGATGAGTCCGTAGAGTCGAGTGGCCCGCACCCAGAGCTTGTTGGCTGCCTCATGTACCTGATGACCTGCACACGACCTGACCTCGCATACCCTCTTAGCATTCTCGCACGCTATGTTGCTCCTGGGAGACACAGACCGGAGCACATGGCTGCAGCGAAGAGGGTGTTGCGTTACTTGTGCAGTACGTCGGGAATGGGGCTTGTGCTTGGAGGGCAGAGTCCAGTGGTCCTCACTGGGCACGCAGACGCTTCTTGGGCTGACGACCAGGCTACGCAGCGGTCGTCACAGGGTTACACCTTCAGCCTTGGTTCCGGCTCTGTTTCGTGGCGGGCTACCCGCTCGTCTTCTGTTCTCGGCTCCAGTTGTGAGGCTGAGATCTACGCCGGGGCCATGGCTGCACAGGAGCTTCGCTGGCTCACCTACCTGCTGACTGACCTCGGAGAGCCGCCTCGTTCTCCTCCAGTGCTGTACGTAGACAACAAGGCCATGCTGGCCTTGTGTCGAGAGCAGAGACTGGAGCACAGAACGAAGCACATTGCTCTCCGCTACTTCCTTGCTCGTGAGCTACAGCAGCGTGGTCAGCTGCGGCTTGCGTACGTGGCCTCTCAGGCCAACACTGCTGATATCTTCACCAAGGCACTTGCGCCTTGTGATCATCAGCGCTTCTGTACTCAGCTGGGTCTTGTGCCTACCTTGCCTCACTTGCTCACCCCTTGACCTTGTTTGTACTGTTGCATATATATATACACCTGCTCTTGCTTGTCTAGCCTTATATATATATGTAATCCTGCATGTGAACTGGCCTTGTGGCCTTGAACTTGTGCTCGGAATGTGTGGTGACTTTGTGATCCACCCTGAGCTTGCTTTGCTTTGCTTGACTGGTCTTGTGACCCCTTGTTCTCCCCCACTTTGCCTATGGGGGTGTGTCAGATTTATATGACATAGCTACTATAGGCTATAGTGGGGTAGCACATATGGGGTACAGTTTTCTAGGGTTTACATTTGTACCCAACTTTCCCTTAGTCAATCCATTCTCGTTCAGTTTCTCAGAAATCACCCGCCACCACCAACTGCTCCCCCTTTGGCAGGCCTGCAACAAAAACGCTGAACTCTGTCCCCAAGAAACTGCCCCTTGGAGGAGCCTGCGCTGGGAAATACACCGCCAACAACCTCAACTGCCTTGCGCCCCACCGCACCCTCGCGTGGAGCAGCCTGCCCGACGCATGCCGGTGAACGTCCTCAACAACCACCCCGTCCCGGAAGCTCAGAATGGCCACCCCACTTGCCCTGGTAGGTGCACCAGCAGCGGCCACACTGTGAGGCTTTAGTTCCGTCCAGAAATTGTGATCTTCTGCCACTCTCGTATCCGCTAGAATCACCACGTCTGCAACTGTTTTAATCCATCTTTTTAAATTTTGCCGTTTCCCTTCGCTCCCCAAACCGTTGACGTTCAGGGTCATAATGGAAAGACGGTTGGTGTTACTCATTGGATAACCGCCGTTGAGCCCCCCTTGCATCCACAGGGCAATGATACTGCAGCTAGAGCACCGACCAGTATGAGATGCTCTGACACCACCATCCCCCACAGCCTGGCCGCAGATCAACGTCACACTCCGAACTCCTTCTTCGCCGCCTGCAACGCCACACCAGCCTTTGAGGCGCGCGATGCAAAGCCGGCTGACATCCCATCGCTGTGCCTCTGTGAGACCACATGTTCTGCCGCCTGTGCAAAGGTAACCCCATTCGCCTTCTCGCAGCACTCCTGCACACAGATCCACTCCTCGTGGTTCGCGCCAGTCGAAATCAGCACCACCGCCGTGTCCTTCAAGATGAGCCTGGTCAGATCTGTGATCTGGACTGAGGCGGCTGCGCGGATCCGACACATCCACAACATTAGCACCACTCCACCTCAAAAACAGCAACAGCAGGTGAGCAGTCAGAAAGCACCAACCATTACCATTGATCCCGTGCACCCGTCCCAGGGACAGGCTCCACTTGCCGATGTTATTTTTCCGATCCGCCACGTAGTCATCATGATACCTTGTCATATGAAACCCCGAACAGTAAATACAGCTCTGGGAGGGGTAGTGGACCATAAGTTGCTTGTCGTGCGCCGTCGGATCTTCAATCATATGACGCCACCGATACTTGTCACCAGCGTGCTGCTTCACCAGTCCCTTCACCTTGTCCGTATCCATCCCCGTAACAGGATTCACCACCCGATGGAAGCAATAGCCTTCCTTAAACGCAGATCTTCCCCTCTTCTCCAACTTCACCGTCACCAGCATTTCCCGCAGCATCTCAGGCGTGATAACGGCATCCACCTCCTTAAACAGGACTTCCACCAACGTTGGGTCTGCAGCTCGTGCCTTCACGTACGCAGGATCCACCGGGTGCTGCCAGTCGAGGCTGATCCGCTTTCCATCCAGACACACGTGCACAATACCGTGCTTCCAGACGAAGTTCGCGTCCCGAGCCCGCTCAAAGGTGACTTGCAGCCGACTGTATTGCTTCTTGTTCAGGTTCACCACAGATAACTCCTGAAACTTTGTCTCGCCTTGGATCTCAAATTTCAGCTCCTTCTTCCACAGAGTGAAAAGCGCGCGCAGAGTCGCCTGTACCCGCGTCACCTCCGGCTTGAAGACTAGAGGGATCAGCAAGATAATGGCGAAACGAACACGCTGAGCAACCTCGTTCTTCGCGGACGCATCATACCGCTCCTCAGGATCATCACTGAGGTACCCGTCATCGTCCTCTTCGTCATCCGTAGATTAAACAGTCGTCGTAACATGACGCTTCTCCTGATTATCATTGCTGCCTCCCGCACCATCTGCAGGTACAGGCTTATCAGCACCATCTGTAGAAGCCGCCGTTGCAGCAGGGACCGCTGATCCCATCAAACTCCGTGCAGCCTCCTGCACACGCTGCGCCGTCACTCCCGGCTGAAGCGCGTCCTTGTCCGTCTCTGTAAACAAGTCCGACGTACGTTTGACAGCCGAGGATGCTGAAGCGTCAACAGCAGCAGACACCTCCTTAGCCTTGTCTAGAGCATTACCAGCCAAAGTGTCCGTGTGACGAACCCCTCCATTCCTGGTCGTCATCCTGGACATAGTGCGATGATGACAAGGCGGAATCTGAAAACCACTCTGTGGTGAAAGCCAAAGTCTGAGCACTGAGCCAGCACCACCATTGTCGTTGCTTAAATCCTTGAACTTGAAACACCGAGAGGATGTGGTCCTAGAAAGTAGCTTGCTCCCCGAATCTTGTAGTAGATAGCAAGCCAATAAAGGCGCTTGAAACAGCCCGAAACGGGAGCCTTGGTGATAATGCAATGAACAGGTGTCAACCCTTGACCTTGCCGCTCTGATCAGCCATGGAAACTGTCGCGAGACCTTGGTGTTAGTGACTGTCACGGAAAACAGACCCCTTGAGACAAAAGATACAATGTCCGTCTGTTGGACACAAGAAGTGTATCTTAAGCTTCGTAACAGTAAGGCGGTTCCGAATCTGTGAACATTGTAACCAACTGATACGTGGTCTTCACAAACGAGCTCCTTAAAGCCGTCAGGCGGAATCCATGGCGGAGCTGTCAGTGTCTATTCTCGCGGTAGAGCCAGCTGTCTGCCTCACCTTGGTCATTCACCTTTCAAAAGAACATTCAAAAAGTGATAGCACATACATCTTATGTACATCAATGAGTAGGATCTTCAATCAATTAGGTTCTTTCACGTTTTGATGTTTCCCTTTGATAAGTTTTAGCTGCCTCGATATTGTGCCGCTGTACGCGACTCGGCAGGGTGGGTTGGGTTGGGTGTCACCCACACGCCGTTTCTGTTGCAACGCAATGCAACTGTGCAACTGCAGACTGGAACGCGCTTCCTCTCCTCTCCCTCCTGACCTAACTCCTCCCCCTCCGCCTTCCGGTTTCGCCACATGCTTTCGCCACATGCATTCGCCAGCGATGTTAGGCTTGAGACTTTCTTGCTGGGTTTCTACTGCATTGCGGTTCTGGTTCTGGTCATCGAGAATTCCCATGGCTGTGCAAGTACACGCGCCGCACTCACTCCACAATCAAGTTTACACACGGACGTGACGGACAGGCGACGCTGCTGCGGCGAAGAGCAGCGTTCGATGGTTTTCCTGCTGCTCAAGTTCCCGAAATTCCTCGGTCATTAGCATCCGTTTCTCAGACATTCGCTTGTCGGTCGTAGGACCGAGGCAGGCGCATGTCGATCAATGGACGAGCGTCGGCTCATTTTGTTTCCGTCGTTTCATTAACGAAATCTCAGCGATCGATACAAGCACATCAGTTCCTATTCAGTACTGACGGCCATGGGCCTTTTTACGTTCCTCTTCGGAGAGGACGCCGACGGGTTGGGAGCAGCCATTACCCGCTGGACCATCGAGGTTCGTCGCGTTTCCGTCCGATCCCCAGAGGCTGAGGCGATTTTTTTTCGAATTTCGCCTCATCATTTTTTTACTGAGGATTCTCGTTATTTGCCTATCGCGTGAAAGCACGTCCGCAACATCTATCAGCGTTCTGAGCCCTCTGTTTCTCCGTCGCCGCTCTTTTAACCTCGAGAATACCGTATCCGCTTCCCTCGCATGTAGACATCCTACTTAAACTTGTAACAGGAACCCGACTGCTTGTATTCGTTGCATATCTGTGGATCCTGAATTCGATGCCTCCATGCCATCATCGTTGGATTTGCAGTCATTCTCGTTCTGATGTGTTCACTCCCTTAATACTATCCGTCTACTTGCTCCCAAACTGCTGCTCTCCAGGATTTCGAGGAGCGGTATGAGCAGGGCCTACGTGGCGGCATCGCAGCCACGGATGGTACTTCTTCCACGTCCGACGTGGGAGCATCGACGACGGTGGACAGCACAGTTTCGACAGCCCGAAACCCTCAAGGCTCCAGGCAGCAAGCAGCGTCGCAGGGGCCGCAGGTCTGTCAACTCACCACGTTGAAGACACACTCAAAGAGGAAAAGAAACAGAAAAAAAAAGTAGTTTCAGTACAGCCAGTTCCAAGGAGCATCCCAGGGGCCGCAGGCTAGCCAGCTCAGTACGCTGCTGAAGACACTTTAAAGAAAAAAAAAAGTAAAAAGAAGAAGAAAAACTCTTAGTAATATCACTACAGCTGGCAGCAAGCAGCATCACAGGGGCCGCAGGTCTGTCAACTCAGGACACTGAATACACGCTCAAAAGAAACAACAGACCAGGGTAATTTGAATGTAGCTGGCAACAAGGAGGCTCGCAGGGGTGGCAGGTCAGTCAGCCCGAATGCATGTTGTTTTTTCGTGTCCCCGCCTGTCCACATGCGTCTATTCCCATGCCATCATGCAACCGCTTTTCCCCTCCCCCATTTTTCCCCTCCCCCATTTTTCCCCTCCCCCATTTTTCCCCTCCCCCATTTTTCCCCTCCCCCATTTTTCTCCTCCCCCATTTTTCCCCTCCCCCATTTCCCCCCTCCCCCATTTTCCCCCTCCCCCATTTTTCCCCTCCCCCATTTTTCCCCTCCCCCATTTTCCCCCTCCCCCATTTTCCCCCTCCCCCATTTTTCCCCTCCCCCATTTTCCCCCTCCCCCATTTTTCCCCTCCCCCATTTTCCCCCTCCCCCATTTTCCCCCTCCCCCATTTTCCCCCTCCCCCATTTTCCCCCTCCCCCATTTTCCCCCTCCCCCATTTTCCCCCTCCCCCATTTTCCCCCTCCCCCATTTTCCCCTCCCCCATTTTCCCCCTCCCCCATTTTCCCCTCCCCCATTTTTCCCCTCCCCCATTTTCCCCCTCCCCCATTTTCCCCCTCCCCCATTTTCCCCCTCCCCCATTTTCCCCCTCCCCCATTTTCCCCCTCCCCCATTTTCCCCCTCCCCCATTTTCCCCCTCCCCCATTTTCCCCCTCCCCCATTTTCCCCCTCCCCCATTTTTCCCCTCCCCCATTTTCCCCCTCCCCCATTTTCCCCCTCCCCCATTTTCCCCTCCCCCATTTTTCCCCTCCCCCATTTTCCCCCTCCCCCATTTTTCCCCTCCCCCATTTTCCCCCTCCCCCATTTTCCCCCTCCCCCATTTTCCCCCTCCCCCATTTTCCCCCTCCCCCATTTTCCCCCTCCCCCATTTTCCCCCTCCCCCATTATCCCCCTCCCCCATTTTCCCCCTCCCCCATTTTCCCCCTCCCCCAGAATCCATCCCAGAAAGGAGCCCCCCAGCCCTGCCCCGCCCTCTGCCAATGTTCCCCCCAGTGGATGTGCGAGCGCTGGCAGAGGCGGTGAGGGGAGACATCACACCTGCTCCTTTCCCCTCCTTCCCCCCATGCAAATGCACACCGTGTATCTCCCTGACTCCTCTGCAGTCCCACTCACTCGCCTCACGAGAATCAGCGGCACGCAAGGCTCTGCCCATGCATCTGACGGTGGAGCTGAGGGAGCAGCTGGCGGAGGCGGTGGGGCGGGACATCACACCCAGTCCTTTCCCCTCTCCCCCCCCTGCAAATGCGGCCTTGTACCCCCCAGACTCATCTGCAGTCCCACTTACCTGCCTCACGAGAAGCCTCTGTGCGCAAGGCTCTGCCCATGTATCCAACAGTGGAGCTGAGGGAGCTGGCGGAGGCGGTGGGGCGGGACATCATGCGTGGCAATCCCGAGGTGACGTGGAGCAGTGTCAAGGGGCTGGGCGGCGCCAAACAGCTGCTCAAGGAGGCCGTCGTCATGCCCATCAAGTACCCGCAGTGAGTCATGCCCATCAAGTACCCGCAGTGTTGTGCTGTGTGCTGTGCTGTGTTGAGTTGAGTTGTGTCTGTGTGTGTTGCGCCTGTGAGTCGGTGTGGCTGCATGCACGGCGCCATGCAGCTGCTCAAGGAGGCCATGGTGATTTTCTGGCTCTCCCTCTCTCCCGCTCATCCACCACACAACGCTACCGCACAATACTGATCCGTACCGCTGCACACCTCTCTAACGCCATGCACTCTCTGCCTGCCACCCACTCCCTCCCTGCACCAGGTGCATCGCGAGCCTCCACACCCCTCGCACCACACCCCACTGCCCCACAGTATCGAACTGACCGCACGCACACCATCCTTCCCCCATCCCTTCGTCCCCTCCGCATTCCCTGGCCTTGCACCAGTTACTTCACGGGTCTGCTCGCCCCATGAAAGAAAATCCTGCTTATTCAGCAAAACCTAGCACCGCCTAGTATCGAATCGCACTGCACACCACCCTTCATTCGTCCCTTCTGCTTCCCCCTCCGTGCATCAGGTACTTCACGTCACGGGCCTGCTCGCCCCATGGAAGGGCGTTCTGCTCCTCCACAACACTACACCACCACACAGTGCTGAACCGTATCGCACGCCACCCTTTCCCCACCCCCTTCACCTGTCCCCACCTCCTACCTGCATCAGGTACTTCACGGGTCTGCTCGCCCCATGGAAGGGCATTCTGCTCTTTGGCCCTCCTGGAACAGGCAAGGTAAACAACCACTCTCCCTTACTTGCAACAACCACTCTTCTCTCCGTTCCCCTGCCATTATTCTCCTCTCCCTCTCCCTCGCCCTCTCCCTCTCCCTCTCCCTCCCTCCCCCCCACTTCATCCCAACACCCTAACAACCCCCACTCCCCAACCCCAACACCCCCATACACGCACAGACAATGCTGGCCAAGGCGGTGGCTACAGAGTGCCGCACCACAAGGGGTGGTTAGAGAGGTTCAGCGCACCACACCCTCCGCATTGTGTTGCCTTGCCACGCCCATTCCGCCATCCCACTCCTCCTCACCCCCACACCCGCACAGACAATGCTGGCCAAGGCGGTGGCAACGGAGTGTCGCACCACCTTCTTCAACGTCTCTGCCTCCACGCTTGTCAGCAAGTGGCGAGGTGAGCTTGAGTGAGCATGCAGGCGCGCTGCACCCTTTGGTTTATGTTGCCGTGTCGTGATGCCTGACTCTGATATCGTACAAAAGGACATCTCGCCGTTTTGAGACGTCCCAAAACACTTCTTCAAAAAACGCGCTGCACCCTTTGGTTTGTTTATTGTCACCGAATATGCATGATTATGCATATAAGGTGCCAGAGTATGCGGTGTAGTTATGGTGTAGCAATGTTGAGTGTGCACATTGTAGGGCAGGTAGTTGGGGACCAGGGAAACTGTAATGAATGTGAATTCATTTCTGTAGAGGCTACTCCTAGCGAGGACAGCCCGAACTGTTCGCGTCAGTTTGGGTTCGGCCTACACTTCGGCCCGAACCACTTCCGAGTCGCCCCGCACCAATCGCGACACTTCCAACCCATCCACGTCCCGAGGTCCTCGCCTACCACGGTTTCGACCCTATAAATGCTTGCTTCTTTATCATTCTCGTCATTCTGTAGTTCTCATCCTTTTTATAAAGTCTTCCGCGCACTCTTCTTAGTACAACTCATAACACTTGGTATCAGAGCCTAAGTTCCTAAGTTCCCCGTTTTTTAGAGTGTATTACCCCTCAGGGGGGGGGACAGGGAAGGATGCCGTGGTGACAGGAGCAGCGCAGTAGCCGGCCAGGAGAACGGATAGTTGCTCCTAGCGGCCATGTTTTTACGGGCGCTCCTGCTGCACCGACGGATCCTTGCCCTCGACGGTCGAGATGGACCGTGGCCTCCCTCCCCCCGGGTGGCGGACAGCTTTTGCTGTCGTCGCATTTAATTGCGTGAGTAAATTTCATCGTTTCCGTTAATCTCGGCGCTGTTTTTATGCGGCAGTTGGCGTCAGGACGGTTGTCGTCACTGCAGGCGCGAGATTCTCGGAGCAGCTGGTCGTGCGAGTTGAAGTTTTCACGTGGTCGTCAACTGCGCACGAAGAAATCGGAGTCAATGCGTGCGGCAAGTGGCGTCAGGCGTTTTCGTCAAGTTGCGCACGAGAATCACGGAGGTCTTCGGCACGTTGTGAGCATCGTCACTGTGCTCGAAGATTTCGGGTGGCTTCACGGCAGAAACGACAGCTGGCCGGACAGGCCAGGCGCATGGTGATTTGCGTCGGAAAATGCAAACGGCGAGGAGAGACGGCGTGACGACTGCCCGAAGAAAGCGGGGGTCTACCGTCGTTCCGCCCGGGTGTGGCCGGTGTGGCTGCAGGAGGGTGTGTCTTTGGCGTTTTCGGCAGGTGCGGCACAGTGTGGGACGGAAGTTATTTTCGAACCGCCGAAAAGTTCGGAAAAGGCCGCCTACGACTAGACTGTCTACGTTAGGGTCACTTCTGCGCCTGCAACAAGGTCGGCCGAAATTTTCGGAGCAACAGCAGCGGCAGACACTGTACTTCATGCGGCACAGGTTCCCCCTGATCAAGGGAAGTTGCGCCGCAGACAGGGCAGTACACCGACGGGACAACGGTTTATCGCAGCGTCTAGACCCGCGAATTTCGCCTAGTCTACCGGTCACAATAAACGGAGTTGCGACAAATACGGGTCTGGCGAGAGAAACGGATTCCGAGCTTCAGGAGGGGCGAAAACGACCTAAAGCGACGACTTTTTGCTGAGGGCCGAGTTTTGCGGCTAAGCGGCGGTAGCAGAAGGAGCTCCCTACCGGCCAAAGTCTACCGACGTTTCACATACCTCACGCCCAGAAGGCCTCGAATGCAAGGTGTAAGTCCTATTGGCCACTGGATCCAAAGGTGGGGCCTTGTGTTTAGCCCTGTGCTGGCTAAAAAGCGCGGGTATTGTGCCAGTTCGACAGCTGGGCTTACAAGAAATTTTATGGGAGCGACACTGTTTCGGCCCCGACAAAACCGGACCATCGGCAGCAGTTACCCCGCCGAAAAAGTCGGAGCTGAAGCAGTTGGTGCAGCTGTCGGAGTTTCTCCTGATTCAACGGTCTACCCGACGGCGGTGTAGCGGCGAAGAAGGGATTTCCGAAGCTGAGGAGTTTTAAACGCGATAGACGCAGTGGGCAGCGAAGCGGCCGGTCCGACTGTTTGATCCGATAAACATGACCCGGCTACGATAGCGTTCGCGCCTTCACTGAATGTCAGAAAAATCGCGGGCAACAAGGAGTTATACCTCATCCGACAAAAGCGAACGCTGGGTGAACGGCGGCAAGCGAAATTGTCGGGGGGTGAAGACACAAAACAAATGGAGGGAAATTTGTGGGTGCTCCAGCAGATCTCCAGAGTGAAAGGTTGAGCCCGTACACCAATCCACCGCGAATTTCGGAGTCTATTCGGTAGACCCCCGAAAGGGTTTGATATTGTTACATGGAGGCGCGGCGAGCGGTGTATCGCCAAGGATACCTGGGATTCGCTAAGTAATTTCGACGGGTGCGAAGACGGGTGAACGTCGGAGTACCAGGGTTAACGGCGGAAGCGTCGGGGTTACGCGGCGGAAAATACTTCGGGACTGCTTCAACAACCATGATTTTCGGGGTTTTATTCCAACGGTGGGAGACGGGTGAACGTCTGCTCGCCAGCTGTTTCAGCGGTTTACGGTGTACTTCGAAGCCATCTGGGGAAATTCTACAGCGAGATCTGCGGCGTCGATGCGGGCTAGGTTCCGTGAAATTCGGTCCCGGTAGACCCATAGTTCTGGGTTCCGCACAAAAAGCACCTCCTGTTGGCGGGTGGCTAGTGTGGTTAATCGCAGGAAATAAAAATGGCGACGGGTGGGCACGCTAGATACACCGGTTCTTCAAGGGGATAACCTGCAGGTGACCAAGACGTACGAGAAATTTCAACACCGACACTTACGGGTTTCAGCAGCAGTACTGGGAGCTGGGTCTTTACAAGAGTTCGGCGGTGACGGCCGACAATTTCGCGACAACGGCGGACTTGCAGCGGCGCTGGGTTAAGCGCGCGAAAACTGCCGTGGTGAACTTCATGGTGGCAAAATCTGCAGAGTTTCAGGGGTACCAGCCGCAACACTGGTGAAATGTATCACAACAGGTGGGGGGGAGGAAGGACGGCTTTTTCGCCTCTGCCCCGAAGTCTTCGGCGAGTCACGACAACAGCCGAGGTAGCTGACGTCATCGACAGTTCGAGTTTTCAACTTTGAAAAATATTTGCGAGGTCAGGGGTAAGAGCAGCAGCTGTTTTCGTCCCTGCCCGGGAGTTTTCGGAGCAACGCGACAAAGGCCTGGGCGAGTCTGGACAAAACTGCCGAGGGCGCCGACAGCTGGAACACTACAGCGAAGATTTTCGCCACAGCAACCAGCCAAACGGCAGCAGCAATTCGGGATTGCAGCAGTTGCCAACTGGAGATTGGGCAGCAATAAAGTGATTCGATACTGCCACGCGGGGGATTACGAGGTGGCAGTCACGAGAGATGCTGCAGCAACAGTCGCGACAACAAGACAACAAGAAGATTTTCTTAATGCCGAGCCCCTGCAAAAACGATATTCTTTCGAAGGGACTTCGACAGAGTTTACCCTGGGCATTTTCGGGGTTTTCGACAGTGAAGATTTCGCCACCGACAGCAATTTCGACTACACAACGGCTGAATTTCAGGCGGGAGGTCATAACACTTGGTATTCTGTCCTACCCTCGGCGTCAGGGGGGTTGTGGTTTTGTGCCCGCGCAGCTGTGCACATTTTGGTGGGCAGCAGTTCTCTTCCAAGGGGGGGGGGGGGGGAGAAAGAGTGCTCACGCACTGTTGTTGGCAGGCCTCTGACATTTCGGCAGTTATTTCTGACAGTTCGTCTGACACACCCAGCACGACGGACGCACGCGATGGCTTCATCGGCATCGACGGCACCAGATTCATCGATCTCTGACAACGCGTCAGAATTCCCGCCGACATGACATTCACCAGAACCATCCGATACACATCCGCGACATCGACGGTCTTCCTTCGTCGAACGATTTGAGATCGACATTTGCTTTCAACCGCTCGATTGACATCGGCAGTATCAACGGCTGACATTCCAACTCTTTGAAATTCGCCTGGTCAACGCGCTCAACTCGAAAGTCAACATGCTTCTGCACCGTCAGATCAGTTTCAACCGAGATCTGCAGTTTTCACGCTACTGCAAGACTCGCCTACGTATAAGGGCACCTTATTTAGAAGGTGGGAGAGTGTAATGAATGTGAATTCATTACTGTAGAGGCTACTCCTAGCGAGGACAGCCCGAACTGTTCGCGTCAGTTTGGGTTCGGCCTACACTTCGGCCCGAACCACTTCCGAGTCGCCCCGCACCAATCGCGACACTTCCAACCCATCCACGTCCCGAGGTCCTCGCCTACCACGGTTTCGACCCTATAAATGCTTGCTTCTTTATCATTCTCGTCATTCTGTAGTTCTCATCCTTTTTATAAAGTCTTCCGCGCACTCTTCTTAGTACAACTCATAACAGAAACTGACGCGAGGTGGGTAGGAGAGCACCGAGGGGTGGAATCCAAGGAACCAATGTGAACAAACCAACCCAGGCTCGAGCCGCACATTGAGAAATGCACGGTTCGAGCCTGGGCCAGGTAAATTCACTCTCTCACACACACCCGATGCTTTTCTCTTGTTATTCTCTCATATTAGTGGAAAGTTGTTACCTCAGATCTAGCATCCGGTGGCACGCCACTATGGGAGGACCTACGGGGTGAGGGAGGAAACTCTTTCATAACAAGAGAAAAGCCAGTGCGTGTGTGAGTTATGGACGAGTACGAGCTGCGTTGGGCTCGTCGTGAGGAGGAACGGCCGTGTCAGGGCCGGACGCATGAACGTGGGCGCTCGCTGGAGCGGTCGCCGCGGAGGCCAGCATTCCGCGCGGATCAGATTCTGTTCACGCGTGAACGACGCGGAGGCGGATCAGTTCGCGAAGGCGGAGACGGATCGGGATCTGCCATGACGGGCGGCGATCCGTGGCGGCTTGATGGACGACGAGAAGAGGGAGGCGGCGGACGACGTCGCCGAGATACGGGAGCGCCA